CGGGTGTTCGGGCGGGGGGGGGGGGGGGGGGTATTCATTTGTATTAATACAGATCATGCTTCACTGCAGTGAATGGCCCGGAATAAGGACAGCAATGGGAGAATAACTAGATGGATTTTGAGTCTTCAGGCATTTCACTTCTCTGTTTTCCACAGGCCAGGACAATGCCATGGAAATGCTGATGCCCTCTCTCACAAAGATGTTCACTTCACAGATGCCAGCCAACCATGGGGAGTGGGGGGTATGTGGCATCATTAGAGGGTATGTGCTAGAGGGAAGATACGTTGCTCTAAGATGGCTGGAACAAGATTGCATCTTGTCAAGAACTACCACTCCCAGGTCACCTTGCGAGGAAGCTAGGGGGCAAGATGGCCACCTGTAAAGGACTAGGCAAGGCAAGGCAAGTTTATTTATACAGCACATTTCGTACACAATGGTAATTCAAAGTGCTTTACATAAAAGAAAGTAAAACAATCATAAAAAAAATAATAATCACAAAAATAAAACAAGGAATTTAAAAACTTTGAAGATGATTTAAAAATTGATTTAAAATGAATTTAAGACAGTTAAAAACAGAAAATGATAATACATACATAAAATACAGTGCAATCAGTTCGGACATCGCACAGTGCTCATTCAATAAATGCACAGCTAAACAGATGAGTTTTGAGTCTAGATTTGAATGTGACTAATGTTTTAGCACATCTGATCTCTTCTGGAAGCTGATACCAACTGCGGGCGGCAAAATAGCTAAAAGCAGATTCCCCTTGATTTGTGTGAACCCTTGGTATTTCTAACTGACTCGATCCTAATGATCTGAGTGGTCTGTTAGGTTTATATTCAGTGAGCATATCTGCAATGTATTTAGGTCCTAGGCCATTGAGTGATTTATAAACGAGGGTGCATATACGGGCTAAACAAGAGCGGTGCAAGAATTGAGCCTTGTGGGACTCCGCATGTCATGGACGTCCACTTAGACTTATGCTCTCCTATACTCACATAATAACCTCTCCCTTCTAAGTATGACCTGAACCATTTGATTACCATCCCAGAAAGCCCGACCCAGTTTTCCAGTCTCTCTAGTAGTATGTTATGATCGACAGTGTCAAATGCAGCACTGAGATCTAGTAGTACCAGCACTGATATTTTGCCAGAATCAGAATGTAAGCGAATATCATTTATTATCTTAATGAGTGCTGTCTCTGTGCTGTGGTGCGGTCAGAAACCAGATTGAAAATTGTCCAGGTATCCATTTGAGTTTAAGTATTTGTTCAGCTGATTAAAAACGACCTTTTCAATAATCTTGCCTATAAAGGATTTGATATTGGTCTATGGACCATTGGACTACAAAGCCCAGACTGCCTTAGAGAGAGAGGGCAGCTGCAACTAGAATGAGACTGGCAGCATGGTCTGAGAGGAGGAAAAAAGAGGTGTTGGTGTGGCAGAAAAAGACACACACCACTGGTGTTGGGAGAAGTAAAGAAGATTAAGTTATTTTGGTTGTGTGCTGAAGAGATTTAAGTTGTAAACCTGAGACCTTCTGTTTGATTATTAAACAACACCTGCATGCTGAGGAGACAGTTGAAGCAGTTGAAGCTGTGTTTATTGAAAAACTGCACAAGTTAAAGACCCGCAACCTCACCTCCTTAATAATTATGCACACCTGAATATAAGGCGTTTTTCACTTCCATCCTTCATAGGCAATTATATATAATTTATAAATGATTAAAGACAAAATGAATAGTAGTTTTTATGCAAGTCTGCTCTTAATTTGGTTGTACCTATTTGTTCTAAGGTAGAACAAAGCAAAATAAACAATCTGGCGGAAACAAACCGAAAACAGTGCTCACCTACAGACAGGACCAAAACGGCACAGAGTGGAGCACAGGAAAACACATACAAAACCAACAAGCACAGGACAAAGTATATATAGGAAATAAAATCACATCTGACAAATGAACTAGTGACAGGGCACACGAGAGAACAGAGTAATAGAAGCACATGGCCAACAGACATAAACTGAGGTCATGTGGGTTTTGTTTCTGGAGCATACAGTAGGTGCCTGGATCCCACACCAGGATTATAAACACAAATGCCAGGATCCTGACATTATGCTCCAGAAAGAAAACCCACAAGACACAACACAGAACTAAAAACAGAAAGTGTTACACAAGTGATGGGATCCCGACACTAACAGTAGAATAAAAACCAAACAAGAGTGTTGGATCCTGACAAGTAGCGTTTTTATCTTGTTGTGACTTTTTTAATGTCATGTACAGTAGGTAACTATTAATGGTAATAAACTACATTTCCATTAGAATATGATAATTATGGTTAATTATCTTAACATTTAAACACCAAATGCTAGCAAATCAGTTATCAGTTAAATTACTTATCCAGACCTTTCAAAAAATAAAATAAAAAATAAATAACTGAGGGGATGTGAATTTAATTTAAAGATTTCACCAAAAAATTCCCTAATCTTTATTACATTTACATTTAGTCATTTAGCAGACGCTTTTATCCAAAGTGACTTACAAATGAGGACAATAAAAGCAGTCAAAACTAACAAAAGAGCAACAATATATAAGTGCAAATGACAAGTCTCGGTTAGCCTAACGCAGTGCACGTAGAGTGCAGGTACAACTGCAGGAGAAATGGCTTGAAGGAGATGAGATGGAATAGGATCAAGCGGACAAGTAGTAGGATGATTGGAAAGGATGAGTTTAGAGACTTCTGCAACAGAGAGTGGAGAGAAGGATGAAAACGAGTGTATGTTTGCTGGTAAGATGTGTTTGACAGTTTGTGGTGTGGCAAATTGTGCACTGAGGTTTGTAATTATTAAATTATTATTAAAAAGATAATCTCAAATCTTTAATTACTGAAGATGTCTTAAAACTGTGCGCATTGATTTTTAAGCTTCATGTGTGTGCATATACTCACTGGTTCACCCTGGTACCATGCAGGGTTGAATTTCTCATCAGTTTTCAAACTGAAAGAGGTATTGCGAGTGACATCATATATCTTATTGTCCACAATTCCATGGGATTCTGGATATAGACCCTGCAAACGAAAAACATTTTATGAAAACAAAGCAAATTAACTTGTATTGTCTGAAAAGAAACCAATGGAACTAACAGTAATTGAATAAGTTAACCATTTTGTCATAGGAACTGCACAAAAAAAAGGAATGGCAGGAACTACTGAGGTTCAAAAAATAAGATGGAGAGTTAAAATCAGATTCCAAAATTAACACTTATCAAAACTGATAGTCTTACCTTCACACCGATGTAAATAGTAAGTGATTCAAATCAAACACATAAAAACTGTCTACTAAAGAAAGCAAAAATTATAACCGTCAATACATTTTGACACATACGTTTTGTTCTTCAAGAGCAACTGTGGCTTAAAGGATTATTTCACCCAAAAATGAAAATTGGCTTGTGTTTTACTCACCCTCGAAGCATCCTAGGTGTATACGACTTTCTTCTTTCAGACGAATCCAATCAAAGTTATATAAAAAATTCGTGACCGGCATTTTGTTTTGTTCTCTCTCCACGTTCATCACTAATCACGCAATGCCGACGTACTACGTCATCCGTCGGAACGGCTTCCGCGTATGACAGTTGGCGGAAGTGAGAGAAAAGTGTTTTATTACGCTTGAAATATGGATATTTTTAAACGCATGGATTCACTACAGAAGGCCTTTATTCACCGCCCGGAGCCGTGTGAAGCACGTTTTATTATGAATGCGCGCGCTTTATTTGACGACTTGTGGACTGTTCAACTGCAACACCCGCTGACTGCAATGATAGAGCTTGGAATAGCCAGGACAATTTTTAATATAACTCCGACTGGATTCGTCTGAAAGAAGAAAGTCATATACACCAAGAATGCTTCGAGGGTGAGTAAAACACAAGTCAATTTTCATTTTTTGGTGAACTAACCCTTTAATTTCTACCTGTCACTTACTGTCACTATGGTATAATGATTTGGGAAGGTCTTGGTGGGATAAGCAGGTCGCATATACGGTGTAGAGGTCCCACATTTCCCTGAAGAGACAAGATGAGATTAACCACCGAATCTTAACCAGTTTTTACACTAGTTTAAAACAGTGGTTCACAACCAGGGTGCCATGACCCATTAGTGAGCTTCAGAAACCTTCCAAAGGTGCTTTAAGATGACTTAAAATGATTTAAAATAAGACAAACCAACCATAAAACTGGGAAAATATGTATATATGAGGTAGCTAATTTTAAAAATATGATTTATAGACCTGGAAAGTCATGTAAATTAATAAAATCTTAAAATGCCAAGGGGATTTTAATAGTTACGCTAGTTATGCCAACCTATAAAACATTTTATCAGGTAAAATTTGTGAGTAAACAACATTAAAGTAATAATAATAATAATAATAATAATAATACTTGATAAAAAAAATCCTTAATCCTAATCCAGTAAATCACGAATGAATAGAAAATACATATAAATTCACAAGTTAAAAGAGTGAGATGCCTGAAGGATATTCAGGTCTTAACATTTTTGGAATTCTGGAATTACATCTTTTATATTAATTATTTGTATTAAATTGTTGTGGACAGTGGGGGGCCTTGGAGACAAAAAGAGTTGAGCACCACTGATTTAGACTAACAGGTCTATAGTACAGTGAGTATTATAATTCATCCTACATGACACTATGTGACACTATGTACAAGACACAATTCTTTTTTTAGCTGACATTTGATTCATTATTTAAACAGAATGCTAAATGTTAAGACATTTTAAAGACGACATAACACACAGTTTCTGCCAATCTCAAATTAATCTTGAGTACCTATAGAGTACTATTGCATCCTTCATATCTCCGAAGAGTCTTTAGTTTTATCGGATTTATAAAAGACAAATGTACCGCTTCTCTCTGAAAACAGCCGAAAAACAAATGTTCTTCTAACAGATATGACAGATCTAATTCTACGGCCAGGGACAGACTCTGAGTGAATGTGACATACTGAGTTTGCTGATGACAGGAAGCAGGCTGCTGTACGCTTTCATGTATCCTGCCCTGAATCCATCCAGAGACACCAGAAGCAGTGGCGGTTTAGAAAACCTACAGGAAAAGATGACAGTTTTTAGAAATGCTTGTCATGCCATGGAAAAAGTAGCTTCCTTTTTCTGTTGAAGCACCCATGGGTAAAAATAGCAATAGGAAACTTGAGCAGGGTTTCACCCAGAGAACAGCAGATGTTGATGTATGTCTACAAGCCCAAAACAACCTGTCACACCCAAAACACCAAATACACCAACCAGACCAACGGGGAAGAACATGCTTTATTTCACAGTCTTGAATTACTGCAAAAACTCTCAATAAGAAACAAGCTTGCATCATGCATGCTCTAACTTGTAATATTATGAAATGTATTTTCTATTTATTCTCATTTTCTCATAAAGCTTTTATCTGATTTTGCATGAGTGATTTAATAGACTCTTTACCTTACTGTAGATGTCTAACTCTGTAATGGCAACACTACAAAGTTATGGTAACAGTCCTGCCTGCTTACACACAACTCCCATAAAGCATTAAATAATAATAATAATAATAATAATAATAATTCTCTCTCTCTCTCTCTCTCTCTCTCTCTCTATATATATATATATATATAGCCATAAAACATTAGCTCAATTTATTGTGAGGCTATTAAATTCCAAACTATAATAAAATACATTAAATGTACAATTTTCTTGAATAGTACCTTTATATTTTCCAAATTATTTTAAGTATTAGGTTTATGGCTCCCAATACACCTCTTTTTTTTAATGATGAGATGCAATGGCAGCAAAAATGGTTTTAAAGTTAAAGCACATGGCTCATTAAGTTGTCTATTTGTGTTTACGCCAGCGAATGCCATTATGGCCAAAGCTGAATGTATTTCAGAGTATGTTTATTATAGCTAATGGAAAAACAGAGTCAGAGTCACCCAGTTTCAGACATAAACACACACACGCCTAAACATCTCTCTGTGCATCTAAATAGATGCATTCATATACAGTGCCATTTAAAAGTCTGAGTCCACATGTGATTTAAAATCTCATTTAAACTCAGAAAGACAAAGTTTTAGGATGCAGACAATTTAAAACAAAGAATTGTTACGATATAAAATGAATACTATTTCTAGACCACTAATCAAATAAGTGCATTAGTGACACTGACCAGGTGAGCTCCTTTGTGCAAAGAGTCAGAGTTCCTTCCAATGAACAACAAGATCCTCTTTGGAAACTTAAACTTATTTAAGACCATTAGACATAACAGAAGTCTGTCTGAAACCAGTTTCCCTCATACAAAACCACTGCCTGTGAAGTCTTTGGCTAAATTTGCAGTAAGGCAGCTGTCTTAGCTTTCAGACGCAGCCAGCGGTAACGTTCTCAAAGGAAACAAATATTGTTGGCTCACCATATTGTCAAAGGAATGTGGTGGCCAACACAATGTGCCTAGAAAACCAATAAAGCCTCATTAACTGCAGAAGTAGATGCTAATTTCTAAGTGTCGAGTTAAGGATATTAACCTGATTGTGATCTTGATACAGAGCCATCTCAATTATAAACATAAGTCTGTTACCCAGCAGGACATTGAGGAGTCCTGATGTCCTCGCAATCCTCTTCAATCCAAGGTTTTTCACCTGTGAAGAAAAGGAGGAAGAGAAAGAAGTATTAATAGTAACTCGAAATGCAGCCCAGGTGTATTCTTCTTTCAGTGTCCAAATTTCTAAAGTTTCCATCGATTAAACAGTGAGAAAGAGAAATGAAAGGCCGATGAGGAACAGTTCACTTCTCAAAGGCAGGAGAGGGTGCAAATGTTGGCCTTGATACGATACTATGATTCATACATCATAGTCTTCTAATGATACACCTGACATAGTCCAGGGAGCTTTTGTCAAGTGATAGTAATTAGCGGTCACTAGCTAATGCACAGGCAGGAACAAACATGGCTGTGATTGTGTACATAAGCAATACTGAAGTAAGACAGCTAGTGCAATTATGAGTTAACACAGCCAACATGTGAAAGCTTAAATCCCCATTGTGTTTAACACACGTCATATGTGAACAATTTATGTTTTCAGAGGATTCAAAGAGCAGATGCAGTGCTTTCAACTATAGCCAAATATTTATTTTGTTTTGTCACAAAGGGCTGTATTTCATTAACCAAATGTTTTGAGTCAACAGTCAATTTTACAAATGCTTGTTTTCTATAGAAGCATTTTTATGTTGGTTTATGTAATGTTTTCAAATACTTAAATGCATGTTAACTGCAATTAATTTTTTTTTATTATAGCTTAAATTTATATTAAATGCAATTAGCTGAACTTTACAGTTTTATTATTTCTATTTTTTTTTTTTTGACCCACTTAAGTAGAACTTAAAGGGATAGTCCCCCCCAAAATTAAAATGCAGTCATCATTTAGTCATTCTCAAGTTGTTCCAAACCTGTATGAATTTCTTTACTCTGTTGAACACAACAGAAGATATTTTGGCTTCTATAGAATAAGAAAAAAAGTACTATGGAAGTCAATGGGGACCAGTGACTGCTTGGTTACCCACATTCTTCATAATATCTTCTTTTGTGTCTTTTCATACAGGTTTGGGACAACATGGGAGTGAGTAAATGATGACAGAATTTTCATTTTTGGGTGAACTATCACTTTAAGTACATCTATAAATGTAATTTCATAATGAGTTCTATTGTCTTTGAAATATGGTTATTTAATGGCAGGTTCCCAGTTTGACAACTTGCTATATATAGTGTGACAACATAAATGTATTACATAAACTGTGAATACATTCTTTTTTACAATGTAATACAACTGAAAATTTTAATGCTTTTAGTGCAAAGACTTTAAGATCCTATACAGAAACTGACTTTCAAAAATAAACCTATTTATTGGAGTAAATATGTTATGACTAGTATAAAACAATAGTGAAGCTATATCTCGCTATTTGGATACTATTCTGTCCAACCACACCCAAAAAGTGACCTGAAATAATCAACTGAACATTTGTGAAAATATTTAAAAGGAAAACAACTGGCTATGAAAACACCATGTAGGGAAGTTTCACTGTTTTCTGTCCAGCTGAAGGAAGATGAACTCCAGGCCCAAATAACTTCAAAGACAAATCCTTCAGATCCATCACAACTTCACAGACGCTTATGAGCCTTTCGATGAAACAGATAGGCCTACATGTCTGTTCAAAGCGAAATCGTAAACCTAACCAGCTTAAGGATTTTATACAACCATTATTATGGGATTTTATCAACTAAAATGTCTTTATTGACAACCCAAAATATCTATTTTCATTTATACAACATAAATGACAACTGACATGTTATGTAGCTACTTGATGAGAATGGAATGCAGAGCAAAGCATGTCTTGTACCTTCACATATGCTCTTGTAGTTTGAGCAGCAGTCACCCACTTTCACACAGTCTTCAGAACAGGAGCAGAGGCTGTTGAGCAAACGCTCCTCACGGCAGCGGAATTTAGAACACGTCCAGTGCTGACCTTGAACACAGTGAGTGACGGAGATAAACAGCAGGGCAGAGATGATGTGGGAAGAAATGACAGTATCCTGGTTGTTGATATAAACAGCTGAAAGTTTGGTATCATAAAAGCACTTCGGAGCTGTATAGAAGAGTGCTTTCCAAACCAATGGAGCACATACATCGTATTTACATGCAGACCTTTGGTTTAAAACTAATTTTGTATTGGTACATGAAATTCAAATGAAAAAAAAAAAAATTACTTTAAGAAAGTCAATGGAAGGGGGAAAATGGTTTCTGATTCTTAAAGGGACAGTTTACCCATTTACTCAGCCCGCGTTTTAATTCAGCAAATCATTTTGGGCAAACACAGACAATTATTAATATTCATGAGCTTAAAGGGACATGACACCCCCATGTCGTTCCAAACCCGTAAAAGCTTAGTTCGTCTTCGGAACACAATTTAAGATATTTTGGATGAAAACCGGGAGGCTTGTGACTGTCCCATTGACTGCCTAGTAAATTACACTGTCAAGGTCCAGAAAAGTATGAAAGGCATCGTCAGAATAGTCCATCTGCCATCAGTGGTTCAACCGTAATGTTATGAAGCGACGAGAATACTTTTTGTACATGAAGAAAACAAAAATAATGACTTTATTCAACAATTCATCTCCTCTGTGTCTCTCCGCATCACCGCCATAGCACCATTTTGGAGAATATGCGCTGAACGCAAGCAGTGTATGCTATTCTGTGTCAGCCGCGACACAAGGATACGTTTTCTGCATGTATTTACGCTTTGATTTGAATGAAAACAGCGCATCCGTGCAGCATACTTTTCTGGACCTTGACAGTGTAATTTACTTGGCAGTCAATGGGACAGTCACAAGCCTCCTGGTTTTCATTCAAATTATCTTAAATTGTGTTCCGAAGACGAACGAAGCTTTTACGGGTTTGGAATGACATGGGGGTAAGTGATTAATGACAACATTTTCATTTTGGGGTGGAGTATCCCTTTAACAGACTGTCAGGCTGTATGAAATACAGCATGTCTTTAAGATGTTTATGATTTAGAATGTATGTAAAACTGATGTCTGAAAGATGTCTATAAGATGTTTGTACACAGCAGATGCTTTTCAGATGAAGTGATCTTAAACAGACATCTAGCAGACGTATGTGAGCTATCTGGGTTGTGATCAATAAAACAAAATGCAATTATAATTAACATGACAATGTGTACAAAACAGGCGTTGCTACAGTCTGTTCGGAAACCTAGGCTCTCGAGCCGTATATGGTTCTTTCAGTGAGTGCCTATGGGTCGACGGAAGGAAAAAATAAACCAAACTATTTTTTTTGTTTTGTTTTGTTTTCATCAATAATCAAAGCTATTGTGTGTCGATTTAATTTTAAAAAATCGATATATTATATATTTTTTAGAATATTACATAATTCATCAATGCCAGTTTGTTGTATAATACACCAACAAATCATGATCTGGCACAATAAGTTAAAATTTAATTGGACAATGTGAAGTGGAGCGGTAATTTTCCATTCTTATTCATAAATCGGTTGAAAATTACATGGACAGACGAACTTATATTTGTGGAGCGATCTGGATCCGCATGCGGTTTGTCAAATTTTTTAGTCAAATTGCATCACTGAGAAAATGGCTGGCAAAATGGTGACGTGAAAGGACTTAATATATTACCATTTTTGATAATTATGCAGCATTATGAAAGTCTCTTATGCTCATCAAGCCTGCATTTATTTAAAGGGGCGGTTGATTGCGATTTCACTTTTTTAACGTTTGTTAGTGTGTAATGTTGCTGTTTGAGCATAAACAATATCTGCAAAGTTGCAGCGCTGAAAGTTCAATGCAAACGGAGATATCGTCTTTTAAAATTCTGGCAGTTTAATGCCTACAAAAACGGCTGGTAAGGGACTACAACGAGCTTCTTCCCAGGTCCGTTACGTCACAAACCCAGATAAACCCCCCCCCCGGGAACACGCAGCAAAGGGGGCGAGGCCATGTTGTGCTGCTTTACAGAAGAGGAAGAGAAAACTAGAGGTGCACGTAAAAATCTGTTCATATATGAATCGCGATTCTGTCTTCTAACGATTCTAATGGATTCACAAGTTTCAAAATCAATGTTCTAAAGCAGCGGTTCTCAATCCTGTTCCTCGCGTCGCCCTGCTCTGCATATATCTCG